AGCTGGGAGCTTAGTCTAACTGAGCCTGTCTCCCGCCCTCCAGCCAAGCACCTAAGTCCCCCTTCTCCCCAGCTCCTCAAATTCAGCCCAAAAAGAGCTGAACTCAGATCGCCCTTTCTCCGTCCAGGCCCTTGTTCCCTAGCTGCTGTCCCCGTACTCACCCTGGGTCAGGCCCAAGGCCATCAGCAGCATCAGAAGGCTTCTCCTGGGAGGGTCCAAGGTCATGGTCCCTAGAGAGGAGAGGGGGTGCAAGAAGTTCTATGAAATGTGATCCCCTCAGTGTTTTTAGCCACTGACCGTGGGTCCCTCCCACCCAGAGGAAATCACTGGGAGTTTTTTTTTAGGGGGGAGCAGGGAGGCCTCCTCCCTCCTCCCTGGTCTGGCTTTGGGGCGGGGCCTGCAGGGGAAGTCCTGGTTCACTTCCCCATGGAAACCATCCTGTTAGGGGTAAAGGGTGGGGAGCCATGTTTAAGTGACAGAAAGCTTGGTGGACTCCCAGCTCTCCTGCTGCTGTTTGCTTTGCCATGGCACCTAGTGAAACACCATCACGCTCATCACACACTCGGCCGGGCCCTGAGCCAGGCCTGGATATTTTATCTGGGTAGCCATTCACCCAACAAGCGTTATTTCTGATGTGGTCCCAGCTTCAGGGAGCTTACAAGACAGTCAGGGACCAGCGAAAAGGCAGAAGGACAGGCTACACTTTCGGAACCTCTCCTTGTGTTCCCTGCGTAGAAGGAAGCCGCTGAAGGTGTGTGAGCTGGGGAGCGGCACGCTTAGAGCGGTGGACAAGACACAGGATGGGCTGGAGAGGAGAGACTCGGGGCCAGGGGTGGGAAAGACCAGTTACTTCACAGCAGGGCCTTGCATCATCAGCAGAGTCCCGAGGAGACTTCTTTATTCCCTGAGGGAGTCTGTTCATAGGTGACAGAGGCCCTAATTCAGTGGGAATTAGGAAACAGGGAGAGTCACCTGCTGCTGACTGGCCTATTGGGCCCTTGGATGCTTGAGAGTCTGGGTGTGTTTGTTCTTCTTTCCAGGCCAGTGGGGAAAGAAAACTGGTGAGTTATTTGAGTTATACCGAAAAAAGACACTCCCCCTGCCTCTCTGCACCATGTGCTTCCACCCCACCCAGTCCACCTGGCAGCTTCTGTTGGGGTAGAGCGGCTCCCCAGAAACTCTGGCCCCCCGGGGAGATCACCCCTTCCACCCAGCTCCTCAGAGAGAGTGGCCAGACACTTACCCCCCTAGGAAAGGGGCTCCTTTTTCAGGTGGACTGTGTCCTGTGTGGGATGGCCATTGTCGTGTCATGTCTTCCAACCTGTAGCCCTCTTCAGGCCAGAGTTTTGGGGTCTGAGCCCCTTGTTGGGAAAGATGGAGCTGCCTTATCAGGGCAGGGTAGTCAGGAGTTCAGTTTGGGACTTGTTGGGTTCACGGTGGACGTGTAAGTGGGGATGACGCAGAAGGACTGCAAAGGGGAGGCGCCTCCCACTAGACAGCCTGTCATATTGAATGCCTCTATTGATGGGGAGCTCATCACTTGTAAAACAACTCACATATTCTGACAGCTAGCATTATGCCAAAAATCTTTGGTAGCGGGTTCACCTCATTCAAGGACGGTGGGGAGGGGCAGGAACTGAGGGGCTGCACAAAGCTGCACAGTCGGCCACCCAGAGGTGGTTCAGGCACTCAGAGATACTCAGTCCTCAGAAGTCTTTCTCCTTTCAAGGAAATACTCCCCATTTCCTGGTCATAATCTACAGGTAGCTCGCTGCCCTGCCTCTCTGATCACTCTCCTCAGTGCCTGGCCATGACTGTAACCAGGGTCTTGGGGCTCGGACCCGCAAGGACTTACATGGTGCAGCGAGAACCACTTTGGAAATGTGCTAAGCTCCGGGATTTGCGGCTGAGTATGGGGAGGCGGCGTTCGCGAGAAAAGGGGCTAAGAGGAGAAGGGGAGGTTGATGAAGATGCTGGGGCTCAACATACTTCTGTTTCCTTAGCTGTTAGATGGGAACAGCATCGGCTTCTCACGTGAGAGGCAGAAAAGCATCTAGGGCCAGACTGTCCTGGTGGGCGGCCCCATGTCCTAGCTTGGTGACCTCGGCAAGTTAACTGTGCCTCAGTTCCCTCCTCTGGAACCTGCGAGTAACTGTTGTACTTCCTTCCTGGGGTTATTCTGAGGATGAAATGAGCTCATGTGTGTCAAGCACTTACAGCAGCACCTGGCACGGGTGTTGGGGTCCCGGACCGGAGCCAACGGGAGTTGCTGTGGTGGTTCAGTCTCTGCCTGACACTCCCCCAATTTCTCTTTCTCTCTCTGTTCCTGTGGCCCTGCAGTTGTAAGGGGCCACCCCCTTGAGGACAGCCCTGCCCACCCCAGCCCAGGGAGACCGGCTGGGCTGCATAGCTGGAGTTACTCAGCTCAGCACCCCAGGGCTGGGAATGGAGTCGGAAGGGCAGAGGCAGCTGCTGGGGAAGCCTGGGTGGGCTGCCTGGGCCTGCTTCCTTGCCTTAGCTCGGGCCTGGCCCTGCAGGGGTGGGGACGACTCTCACCCACCCCTGTGCACAGGGAGAGGGGCATATGTGGGCCTGGGAACATAGGATGACCTAGACTTTAAAGCTTAAGCTTTTAGGAAGTCACATGCCACCTAAACTGACTCAAGTCAACCTTGGATCCTAAACCTGGCTGGGGGAGGGGGTGGGGTCTGAGAGGCAGCTCTTGTCTCTTGGGCTGAGACCTGTGGTCTGTGGTCCCTGAGAAGTTCATGGATGGAGCTGTCTTCCAGTGTTATTAATTCCCTTTGTAGCCCCATATATTTTTAAAATTTTATCCCCTCTCTGCTTTAATGAGGTAAGATTGACCAAGTAGTCCCATGTATTCTTTATTTTGATTGAGGTGTAACTGATTCAGGTGTACAGCAGAACGATTGGATATTTGTGTATATTAGGAGATGGCACCACAGTCAGTCTAGCTAACATCTGTCTCCATACATTGTTACAAAAACATATTTTGTGTGTGTATTTTTTTAATTTTTATTTTTGTTTTCTTTTTTGTTTGTGTGGGCATTTTTATCTTATGCACTGAAAAGTATTTTTGAGAACAGGTCATGATTTACTAGACTTAAAGGGGTCTGTGGCTGAAAATTGGGAAACAGCCTGACCTTATCCTCTTGCAGAGGCCAGGACCCCAGGGATGAGGAGCCCCAGATGCAGATCCACGAGGAGACAGGCACTGGGAGGGTCTGACCCAGCCCAGAGAGCAGCGGTGCCTGAGCTGGCCAGTAGCTGCAGCGCCACCGCCACCTCCACCGCGTGCCTGCTTGACTCACGCCTGCGCACCCTCTCGTCAAGGTCCTCAGGTGCCTTGTGCTCGGCTGCTGCTGTCTCTACACTGTAGTGAGACGCCGAGTGCCCCCTAAGATTCCCAGGGACACGAAAAGTGTGGCTCCAGATGAAGCTGGGTCTGGCATGGTGGCTCTCAAGAGGGACCTGAAGGGCATTTGACCTTATCTGGGCAGTTTCTAAGTGGCACAAGGGGCAGGAGAAGGGGCAGGGCCCTGGGGCAGAGGAGGAGCAGGTGAGAGGTGCCCCAGGACACAGGGCAGAGGGGCCGGGGTCAGGTGAGGATGTCCAGGGAAGCTGTGGTCTGGGACTCAGTTCCCCCCACAGTCCCACTCGACAGCTGAGAGGGGCAGGACAGGAACCTCACACTGCAGGGCGGTGCCCTCCACGCTGGGGCCCAGCAGGCAGCTGGGAACTGCACTTCCTTCTTTGGAGTCCCTCAGGCCCATTGGATCCTCTTGGTGCCAGAAGGCATCCCTCACTAGTCTTCCCCAGGCTGAAGCATCTGGCTGGCCCTCGTGGGAGCCAAGTCAGAGTTCAGCATGATGTCCTGCCCCCCACTAGCTGGTCTTGAAGAAAGTGCCAACCTTTCTTTGCTGCCCTCTTGCCAGCCTGTGAGGGACGTGCTGGGTCCCCTGTTTCACACCGGAAGAAACAGAGATTGAGACACTTGTCCCACATCTCAGAGACTGACCCATGCCCTGCATCTTCTGAGCCCCAGGAAGAAGATGTGATCCTGACCTCCAGATGGACCCCTGGGATGGCCAGGCTGGGCTCAGAGACCCCCAGCCCTGGGTCAGTTTTTCAGGCTGG